CATCCAAAAATCAGAATGTAATCAAATTAACTTGCAAATAATGTACAAAATAACTTCCTAATATATGTTGAAAACATTATAACATATTTCAGGAAAGAGAAAACAGCACATCAGTGTTAAGTGTTCATGCAGAGTGAGCACTGAACTTCGTGCTTCACAAAGGGAGCATTTATTGCAGGGTTATTGGATTGCATAACAATTTAGAGGCATTTCTTTCATGGTGTTAACTGGATGTGTGGCCACAAATTTCAAGCTAGCATAAGCTAACATTTTTTATTTTGTTTGTATCAGCCTTGACACACAACATAAATGTTTCGTTCATTTATGTGAAAATCTGGGTCATGTTTTAACGTCTGTGTTTCACCTGTAAACTGATGATGTCCGCATTGCAGCCCAGGATTTCTTGGATGATTGATTTCTTCCTGTATTCCCAGTTCAGAGCCCATGAGGGACAGTAACCATATAGCTGTCGTGTGGCGTACTTATCACATAGCACATTGTAGCACATCACAGAGAACAGTGCTGAGGGGAGAAACAGAGAAAAGAGCACATTTTAGAAATGCTGAAGAAACTCATGATTTTTGATTTCCTTGTGTTTTTTAAGGTGGAGTATTGACAGTTCCACACTTATATGTGAGAAAATCTACCTGTTTGCTGTACACTTTCTTTTAAACGTCATTGTTAAAAATATAAATGTTTAATTTCTATCAATGTTCTGCATTGAAGTACAATTCTACATACATTTGCAGCTTTAAACAACCCTAAGCACAGTCATATTTGAGTCAGCCAAAACAACACATGATCAAGCCAAGGGCTCCCACGGTAGTGGTAGCCTATCGAACCTACCGTCTGTTTCCGTTTCATGTTTTTTTTAGAGATACATTTTGTTTGGTTCATTTTTTGTATACATGTCACCGATTTGCAATACTTAGTCTGACACTGAAGTTATAAACTGAAAATGAAAGTGCCTGCTCCCTGCAGCAGCAGAGTCACATGACAGAGCAACAGCCTTATCACATGTTTAGAACAGAGTTGACCAATGAGGATGAGGAGGATTTGTTGTTAAAAGATCATTCAAATCGTGGATATTTTAAGGGTTGACCATCTCAGCGATAGACAGGTCAGTGTGTTTGAGATTGTCAGAGCCAGAGGAAAAAAAACAATAACAGATTAATTGTATCAGAGAGTCCATTTTTATGGATAAAAGCTAGATTCATATTTATTCAAAAAAATAAAAGTTTCAAGTTGCTCTTACCTGAGGGCCGTGATCTGTCTGGTTCCAGGAGTGAGATCCATGACCGGGCTGGGGGTTGCTCTGTTGGTACTGAGCAGAGAAAAATAGTTTCATATGGGTGACAAGATGAACACAGATGTTATATAATGAACTGTTGGGTTCACAATGTTCCCATCTACAAATACTGACAAAACTATCTTATAAGAGATGAAATGATTGTATAGGAACAACAAAAACAACAATTGTTGTGCCAGTCTCAAAATTTGAAGAGAGATGAAGACTCACTGCGCTTGATAGCCCCTGCCAGATTGTCTAACAAGTAGTTGAGCAGTCTCCGCGTGCCATCAGGTTCCTGGTAGAGGCTCATAATTTCTTGTGCAAGTGGGTTTCCTGGTGAAGGAAAAGCAAAGTGGCTTGAATCGTCACTAAGACAACTATGGGATTTCAAGGCTAGAATGGCTACAAAACACATTGATAAGCCACTCACCTTTCAACCCCAGTGTTTGTAACTGAAAGAGTTTCCCCAATTCAAATGGCAGAACCCGCAACTGGTTGTTATTTAAAAGCAGTTCCCTGTGGAGCACATATTTGATTATTAGAAATCAGCCCTTGGAAAACCATCTGTGTTACCTTTAGAAAAATATTTACCACAATGCTGACATGAATAATATCAATAACAAATACCAACTTTAGGTTGATTTTATATGAGGACTTTTCATCTTAAATTTAAAGGTCCCATACTGCAGAAAGTGAGATTCCCTCTTGCGTAATTATAAAGCAGGTCTGGTAGTGTATGAATACTGTGAAACAGCAGGCCTATGAGGGTCCAAGTGACAGATACACTGAGAGGGAACGTTTTAAGCCATGTTCTGCCTCCCTGCTGAGAACTGCATGTCCACTGAGGAGACCTGCACAGCTTGAAAAGTGGAAAACTACTGGTGTTATGCCACGGTAAAAACTAAAAACTATTTTGACAACCTATCCATGCGGCTGTATTTCTACAACAGTGAGAGATGACCCAATGGTTTTGTGTGAGAGACAGTGGGGCAAAGAGCTGCACAGCTCTACACAATGAAGAACACTAAGTTAAAGATCATTCATATTATTATGAAATTAAATATATAAATGGTTCATTTTGAGTCAGTGGAAAGACAAATTAAGACTATGTCAAGGTGTCACAGTCTAGGTAACTCAAATGAAAACTCTATAGATCGCTCATTGTCTTGGTATTAAACTCACGGTATTTTACACCTGCCCAATCACCCACCACCCTAATACTAGGGCCACACAGTTCATCCCAATGGTCTCTGTGGCTGGCCTTGACAGCTGCTGGTACTGGGCCATTCCTGCCAGAGGACCAGCCACTGTGAACTAGAGGCAATGGCACCCGGCTCTGCCACACATGCGTTGGACTGGGAAACAGAAATACTGTGGATAGCCAGTATGCCCCTGTCACCTGATCCAGGGGTTTGTAGCATAACTAGACCCAGGGCTGTGGAATTAAGCTCCACACAAAATCAAGCTGAAGGATTTGGTGTCAGAATTTGACCACCCATTCGCCTCTTTTCAGTATTGTCAAGCTACAGTAGTAGACTACAACCGTTAGTTTGATCAACTTTGCATAATTCAGAAAACAGCAAGAGTGTAAAGCATGGGACCTTTAAATATTTCAAGAGATAAAAATTCAATCTGAGATTAACAGACAACCCACATTGCCACCAGTGACAACTCTGCAGAACATGTGGGTGCCGAAGTGAAATTCAACAACAACCCTGTGACAGCTGTCCTTTTACATTGTGCCCACAATAAGGGGTAAATGTATTGCCTGATATCACTCACCTGAGAGACACCATGTTGCCGAGCTCTGCCGGCAGGCTTCTGATCTTATTGGATGAGAGATCCAGGTACACCAGGTTGTGTAATTTGGCAATGTCTGGTGGGATGCGTGACAATGAGTTGTCACTTAGGTGCAGGGCAGTGAGGTGGGTGAGAGACCACAGGGCTGTGCTGAGACTCCTTACTCGGCCTACAGTGGCAGTGGGAAAAGGACAGACACACACACAAAAGGAGTGTGAACAATGGATATTCATGAATTGGATGCATGATAAGGAACTCCCTGATAATACTCACCACTGATTTCAAGCTCAGCCCAGTATGACTTCTTCCCGTTGGCTGCCTCCTCGCTGGACATTATTGTGTACATCCGCCTCGGATCTGGCGGGTCATATTTTTCCTTGGGCATTCCTATAACACTACAAGAATCATTTTGATTTTAAATGGGAGTCTTGATCAGAGCAAACTGTTTCACGACATGGCATCAAATGTGCACCAATTAACCACATTTGTCTTGAAGCTGGAATAACTTTAAAATAAATTAGGTTAGAGGTTATGAATATAGCTCATCAGGTGATCATATTTGCATTGAGTTTTAGAATGCTAACATGTGTACACATGACGGCAAAATATATTAAATTCAACCCCTGCCTACGGACAACACGTGGACAACCGAAATGTGAGTAAAGCAGTAAGTTGTTTCCAACCGTTTTAAATGAAGATACGATTAGATGACATTTAAACAGCTTTCTATGAGAACTGAATTCAATGGAGTTATATAAGAAGCACCATCAAAATTAGCAACGTAGTGCATTATTAGTCAGACTACACATGGCTAATTCAACGGTTAACAACTGTTAACAAATAAGTGACAAGAAAAAAACGGCATTTTCTTGTTTAATTTACAAGTAGAGCTAGCTAAGGTTAGCCGATTTTTCCTCTCGTTTACGCTAGCTGATTAGCCTAGCTGGACCTAAATAGGAAGCTATCAAACTGTGTATAACAGACGCTGAGTGGCTAACGCTAGCTCAGTTGCTACCTAGCAAGGTGGACACGGACAAGCGAAGTTGGTTCAATTAGTCCAGTTAGCGGACTTTAACGCTCCGTCCAGGCGGAACGAGATTCACAGCGACATTTAAAGACACGGCACGATTACTGTTTACATAATGGCAAAGCACCGACTAGCGTATTAACACTAGGCCACGACACGGCGCATTAGTTAGCCGCAGCTAGCTAGCTAGCTAGCCCACCAGCAGCAACAATCACCGCCGCGGAGATAAACAGAGAAGCAAAGCAGCTACACAATGCTAGCTCCGCGAGCAACGGCGAGCTATTTAGCTTAGCTCGAGTTAGCTTGCTGGCTAAAACCTAACAGATACCGAATATTCTTAACTGACCGACTTCCTGCTCAAATAAGCCGTTTCTTCGGGGAGCAGCCGCGGCGGGTTTGAACATCTACATGAGAAGGCGGTGAAACTAATTCAGGTCTCGGAGGGAGGATTGCACTTTTACCTGCAAGAGCATACCAGACCGCGAGTACGACTGCGTGTTCCCTTTTGTTTTCTAGCTACTTCTCAGCCGTTTCCGCTGCTGTATCATGGCGACTGTAAGGATTTTTTTTCCTCTGCCGATAACGGCGCTCGATCCGATTGGTCAGCGTGCAGACGCTCCAACCAGCTGTTGAAGCAGAGTAAATAACATCCCTGAGAGACGAGTGGTGGATAATGAGATGGATGATTAGGATCGCACACTTCAATTCACTCTGCCTCATGAAGACATTACGTGTAGGCAGCAGAATGAGCGGGTTCATCAACAGCAGCCATGCAGCCACTAAAAGTAGTGATGTCATGGTTTAATCTATTCTACCTTTCATAACAGATTGGTCTTTGTTGGCTAGAGGACGAAATAATAACATAAACATTCACTCCACAAACTCACACAACCTTTATTTAAAAACATATAAAATATACAAGGAACTTGTACAAAATAAATTAATTCATGCTCCTCTGAGAGAATGGGCTCAACAAAGATCATCAATTCAATATTTCATTCAACACTGGCAGACATCCAGCAGGTGATTCTGTAGATAAGCCAGCGACTCTTCCACATGGAGAGGTAACGCTTGGCCAAGGTCAGCCCGGGATCTGGACAGGAAGGCGTCCACAGCTTCACGAGTGGCCGACCTGGATATCTTATCATCTGGCTTGTAGACCATCGTGCTAACCCTATCGCTTTGTTTACTGATGGAGCTGCACAGGAAGTCTGGGGAGAACATATGAAAAGATGTTAGGAGTCAACCAAAGTGGGCCTTTAAGGGAGTCAAGTGAGAACTTTATTTGTTGTTGAAATGCTTTAATATTCAGGTGTTGTGTAAACATTTTGTCTCGAAACGTTAATGTGTAAGCCGTGTCTTGGAGGAATTCGCCATTAGAGTCCATACACATTGAAATCAGCTTTAAAATGTTGATCACTCTCCAAACACTATCAAAAATTTACTTTCACTTTTATGGTAGCATAAACATTTTGATTAGGAGTGAACAAAAATTGATATATATATAGAGAGAGACCCATTCCATAGTCAATGTGCAAAATGTAATATATATATATATATATATATATTACATTTTGCACATTGTGTAAGGAATTAAAGAAAATGGTTTGGTGAGATAAATTCAGAAGTTGTCGGTGGGAAAAATGATGAGACTAAGGCCCTGTTAAGACCTGGTATTAACATCTGTCCTGAGGGATCTGATCTCTCTTTCCCGCTCTATGTACAAATAAACACAAACGTCATTTGCCTGAGATGCATTTACAAACACACAGTCATGTGATCAGATCTCAAGACGCATTAAGGACTCATTTGGGTGCGTTCAGACCTGAACTTTGCACTGAACATGTGTGATCGGGTCACTCAAGACAGATGTTAATTCCAGGTCTGAACGGGTTCTACGAGTTAGTGAATGATGGTAAGAAGAGGACGGGCAAAAAATGTAATCAAGATCAGTCCTGCGATAATTCTAACCACAGTAAAATTTTGGGCTTCACCCTCTTTCCTCTCTGTGCTGTACAATAATAAACCTGCATAGTACGATCCCATATGGCATCAAAGCACACACTGCACATTTTGGCGTCTAAAGTTTTACACAGGCTCCATGCACTATCTGCTTCCTGGCAGCAGGACACTTGTATGGACATGGTGATAACTCCAACTCACAAGACTTTAAAAAGGAGCCGGATAGTTCTGGATATAACAATCATTTATTTTATCATTTCATATCAGCCCTCCACCATCACATCACCTGTTATTTTTGAATTTGTACAATTTATAAGAGACCCATTCCATAGTCACAGCTGCTAATACTGATGCGCTGGTATTTGTAGAAATTAGGAAATCAAACATCTTCACGGTTTCCCAAATTCTCACCTTTCATCGCTACGTTGTAGCTGAGTAGCAACATCCAGAGTAGATGGACCAACTCTTCCCACCTCTTCCACCTCTCGTCACCATCCTGTAGAATGAAATGATCTCAATCACACTGCCACAATCTTTTTCTCATGAATTTATAAGCACATTAAAAGTCAGAAATACCACTACACCTGAGAAAAGGTTGGCTGATGAATGTGAAAACAAGAAGTTAAAAACCCTTTACACAAGTCTTATATTCACCGTGGGGTCTGGTGCGAGAGTGCAATTCTTCAGAAAGTGCAGCAACAGACTTAGTGACATGGGCAGAGAGCTTTTCAGCCGGCATGCATAGTCCAACAGATGTTCCAACAGCTTACATGTCAACAGCTTGCTCTGCAAGCTCTCCAGCAGCAACATCCTGGGAGTTGGAAAGAAATCAGTCAGTGATAGCTTGAAAAACCAGAGAACAAGGCATAGTGCACCTTAA